GTCAGGCCCAGGAAGAGGGCCCGGTAAACCCAGACCCTTTCCTGACTCGTGCGAGCTTAGGGGCCCTAACTCCCTCTGGCTATGACGCTCACCAGCAACAACAATGAAAACAATAATGGTAGTGAGAATTGTGATGATAATAATAATAATACCAGTGATAGGTCCACCAAGAAGCTACGGTGACCTTACTTCAACACCCCTTCACAACCTTCCCTATATCTCTGCCCAGGCATGCCTAGCGCAGTGCTATCCCCTTAAACTCCAGCTATCCTTCCTTAAGGGCTACTATGTAAGCTCAGGGAGGGGTAATCTCACATAATTGTGCCCTCTACGTTCCCTGATAAAGGAGCCCTCCCTCAACGGGATTCCAGTCTGTGTCCTCTGTTGCAAGCGTGAAAGTCTCAGTTGGCCCTCTTGTATGGATATCTCTTGCCTCGTACTTCTGCTGGCCTCGAGCCCCAGTTGACGAGGTCTCTCCCCTTGGCTCCCCTCGTGGCCCGAGGGTTATACAGCCGGGACACCTGCGTCGTCTTGGGTCTGCCGGCAGCGTCTCCTTCTGGGCACGGTTCGGACACCTTTTGTGAGCCCAGCGCAGCATCCCCTGTTCCCTCTACTACCTTAGTGGCCCCCGGGACTCTTCTCTCGCCACCTCTCCTCCCCTTCTGACCTCCTCTTCCCCCTTCTTATACTCCCGAGTTGGTTCTCCTCCCTCTCCCTGGGGTGTGCTGACCTCCAGGGTCCCTCTTTGACCCTTGGGGGTTCAAATCTCCCCCTTGTCCCGGGACACACACTTTTAATTTAACTAGCGAATCAAAACTTTCAAAATGTTAAATCCTCCCTTCCTTGCTTGCTTGTAACAGATTTGTAATTTGGGAACAAAAAGCTAGTCATGAGTGAAAATGATTTTGCGAGTTATCTCCTTATTGCAGTCAGTTTCTTATGTGCAACTTTGTATTTTGTTGAGCCTCCTAAAAATGTTCTTCTGCCCATATTGCTGAAACGCTAAGCTAAAATGAAAATCAAAGTTAGCATAGACTTCAACAACAGCTGCAGAAATCTCTTCCTTTGCAATTTAAAATGTCTTTCTTCTTTCCTGCCCAGAGGTCTCCTTGAAACTCCTGCTTCACTGAAGTTATAACAGAGCGTATCATGACTTCAGATATCAGCATTTTCTTTGCCTTTACTGGTATCTGGTGTTACTGCTGCGCTGAAGTTAGAATGAATCAGTCTGAAAGTGAGATTTTGCAAATGGAAGAAAATGAAAATTTAAAGGGCAAATTAAAACTCATACATAAAGATAAATGCCTCTTTCAGCCTGGAGTTGGTTTTCTACACTAAGATGGTTCCACTCATGCACTTATAGTTTTGATTGCTGAACACAGAAACTTGTTTCTACAGCACCTGCCATGACAGTGTTTGGGATTCTGTGACACTGTAAAGAGGTCTTCCCCTCAGAAACTGATCAGACTCATTAAGAGTTGTTTCTTCTCATTTAACTGAAAAGTATATTGTATCCACAGGTGAGGGCTTTATTTCTAAGGAATGTTTCTTCAGAAGAAGCCTAACACTGGAAAATAGAATCTCCACTGGAATAATCCTGTGCATCTTGTGTCCACATCCTAAGATTCTCCCCCCTGCCCCCTCTCAACATTTTGTCAGTTTTTTCTTTTCCAGCAGTAGTTTCTGTCTCTACCAGTGCTCATCCCTGGTCAGTGATACGGTTTGGATCCGTAAACTGGGAACAATGTCACAGAAGGATTGTACGTTTTCCCAAAATAATGACCCCACCCAAATTTCTCCCAATCTGCAAATACCCTGTGTTTTCTACCCCTTAGAAATGCCACCTGGCTTTCATTAATGCTTCCTGCTTATGTCTTTAGACAGCATACAAACAGTGATTCATTTTGTTGCAACTGTTGGTAAAACTTTGGATATTTTTATACGTGCTCCAGGAGATGTGGGGCTGGCACTTTAATTACTGAGCTGTGTTAATTAAAAGCACCTGATTTTCATGTGTGTCAACATCCCTGCGCTGAAAAAATGGTGGTGGCATGGTTTGAACTAAAGCTCGTTTGAATTTTAGTTGAAAGAGCCTCACTGCCATTTTCACTGTGGGGATGCTGATGCATGTGATGCTAGAGTTTGCTGAAGTGCGGTAATTTTCGTGCTCCAGCAGAGTCGATTAATTGAGTCTGCCCCGATACTCTGGTTTTCCAGCACGTCTGAGCAGACTGCCTGCATGTGTATAGGAGCCTTTGTGTCATTTCTACCACAGGAGTATGTCTAGACTTGAAATGTTCAGGACAGCTAAGTCTCCCATTTTTTGCCTCTAAGACCTGTGGAAGATGCCTGCCTTCTCTAGCTACCGTGATACAAAATCTGATGGACTTTTGTATAACATCTTCGTCTTGGTAAAGGTCAGGATTTTTGTCAAAGGCATTGTTGCAGACATGGAAATTTTGGCATGGATGTAACAAATAATTGTTTCTTTGACCATTATCTGTGATGATGAAATGCTTTATGGCAGTGTCAAGGTTGGCACCAGGCTGTTTATGCATGCCTAGATGAGGCAGCACCTCAGTTGGACCCAGCTTGCCTGAAGTCTGTGTAGATCAGGTGCTTTAGTGGGACTTTTTTTGCACTTCTATGTAATAGCTAATTGGATCGGCTTTAGAGAAAAGCCCCACTGTGTCACAGACCGGCTGGGCGCTGTGAGTGTATCAATTCTATCACAGGCCAACTGGGCGCTGCGAGGGTATCAGCCACTGGGCTGTTTGGTTCAGTTTCGGATTGAGGAGGCAAAGTTGGGAGTGAAGCAAAGGCAAATTTATTATAGCTTACACACACAACAGTTAACAGAAAGATAAATGTGATAAGCAGATAATGCTGTATTAAAGAGATAATAGTAAATAATAACAACAGATGGATCAATTCTGTCGCAGGCCAACTAGGCACTGCGAGGGTATCAGCCACTGGGCTGTTCAAAACAACAGATAGACAGACATGGGCTGGCAACTTATCGATAGTCCCTCGATACCAGGTGCGCGCCAAGTGATTCCAGCGAAGTCAGGCATCCCCAGTTGACGTTGTCGGAGGGATTACCGGGGATCAGGATCCGATCC